TCACTGCCTAGAGACCATCACCAACCTAAATAAACCCTGGCTCGAAACGTTACCTCGGCTGCCCTCAAACCCGACGAAGGAGAGCAGCAAAGAGACATTTCGGCCAGATCTGTTTTTTAATGCCGTATCTTGCCCATATGTAGTCCACCCCATGGCTCGAGTTATGCGTACCACTAGGGAGATCTGTCACACCAATGCAATGCATAGCATGAATTTTTGGAGATCCTTCCATCTCAGGATCCCAAGATGATTTTAAATTGTTAATTCATCAGACTCGTTAGGCAACTATTATACCCATGCCACAAATGCACAGCAGGCTCAAAGAGGGGTTAAATGCCTGACTTCTGCTGTGACCACTGAAAACCACTCCTTCCATTACAATCTGCTTCACTGCATGTGGATTACATTAGATGAAGGCAATAAGAACAATATTAAGAAGAGCAAATTAAATTACATTTACAGTGCTTTTCCAGGCTTTCTGTCCAGGCAATCTCTTTATCTTCAAGTTTACAAACAATTTGTCAGAAATCTAAATTATTCCAAAGTTTATGAAAATAAAACCTCTAAACAATCCCCCTTCTAGAAAAGGACAGCTCCTCCTAATTGTCATCTGGAGCAGATTATTCCTTTTTTGAGCAGCACTGTTGATATTGAAGCTGTTGTAACAATATCCTTTCTTAATGTGGTTCAGCAGTGGCTCCATCCATAATAAAACCGATCTGTGCCAAAGCAGCCACTTTGCATGACAAGAATTCCCCCTTCCAACCTTGGATTATTTTGGCAAGGGTCTAATTTGAAACCCTAAGATCCCTGGCCTGCTGAAACTTCTTATTAAAACATGTTTTTAAAGGAGACCAAAAAAAATGAGCAGCAGCCACCCTAGGCAAGCACTTTTGCTGAGCAATACATCCTCCAAATTCTCATAAATCCTAAACCCCGCTAAAGTGATGAGGCTAAGGAAAACCTTCCTCAGTTCTCACTTGCAAAGCCCACAATGAGGAAATGTAGCTGTGTCCCTTACAGACTAACTAAATCTATATGCTAACTATGTATAGCTGATAGAAAGCTTATGGTATCTCTCTCTCTCTCTCTCTCTGATTCAGTTTATACGGGGCAAATCTACCTTGCTTTCTGCCTGATTTCTTACTAATATGGCTCACTACTTCTCCCTGCTCATGGAAAGCCTAACATGACCATTCCTTTAATTTTCTGAACATTTGTTCAGCTATAAAGTGTTCAGCACTGCCTTCATCATGCATGATATCCTGCTAACAGGAGGAAACGCGTTGTCCTCATGGGCAGAGCCTTGCTTGGAAGAGAATAACCAACCTGTTGAGCACGAGACATTCAGGTGATTTGGGGGATGGAGCTGGACTGTCAGAAAGAACTCACCAAGGGGTCTCAAATAGGATGGCCCTGAGGCAGGAGCACCCAGAAATCATTGGTAAATATTGGCCAACGCAACCGTTTCAATCGCACGCTGTTCCCGAGAGCTAACATTTCCTTCAAGCTTCCCCTGGCATCTATACCTAAGTCTATTGGTAACCTGAGAGCCTCAATCTTTTCCATGCATTTTCCTGTCTTTCCTTAGTACCGTATTTGTTTCCATCTCCCTGACGATCTTTTTCTTCACTGTGTTCCTTTCACAACATGATTGAATTTCAACTGATTTTTTTAGCATGTTAGAGGGAACCGTGCTTAAAAATGAGTGCCTTCCCAGAGCGCTGTCTACACAAGGGACCCCCACCATTTTTACTAGAAATGGAGATTTGCTGCATGTGGAGAAATATTCCAATGTACAGGCAGGCACAGAGTCTTATTACTATCCTTGGCCTTCATGCAAAAGTCAAAAGAAAATCCTACAGAGAGTCCCTAGGTCTTGTATCCTAAGGGTCGAATCTGGTATCCTAAGGGTTGGGTCTGGTATCCTAAGGGTCGAGTCTGGTATCCTAAGGGTCAAGTCTGGTATCCTAAGCATCAGAACCCCTGAGCTCTATTCCTGGCTTTGCAACTAAACTCTGTAGGTGATCTGGACTAAAGGTATGGGCATACTCCAGTATAATTTGCAGTGAATTTGTAGACTAACATAAATGGCACTGGATCAGGAACTGCCAGACAAGCAGTTGTTTGGAGGTACAAGCGTTAGAGAACCATATCCATAAACGACGGGGTAACCAGTTTGCTTGTAGCAAACTACCTTAAGGTGGAAGTGGACATCTGAAACCTTATCTTATACCAGTAGAGTTTTACCCCTGCTCCAGCAGTAATGCTTTATCAGATTGGGTAAAATTACCCTGGGTTTAGGTATATTTGTGTCATCTGTCTGCTACTTTTTCCCACCACTTTTGTGCTAATAGCAACAATATAAATATTTTGTCTGGAACACACTTAACCCCTTAAGGACTCTCTAAAGCAGTCATAATACAATAACATTTCACTCATTGTGATACTGAAAGACGTTATACTTGTAAAGACCCTACGTAAATACAAGCGGTTAACAATGTGCAGCTAGAAGATGCTCTGTAACAATCAGCAAAATATAAAGTCGTTGTGCTCAGGTCCTGAAAGGTCATTTTGGTCTTTGTAGGATGTAATTCCTCCTCTGTGGATGGAGGATAATCTTAAATCCTTCTTGATTTTAATTGATTTCTAGTCAATAAACTAGATCTCAATGGCCTTTGCTTGGGTTACTTTCTTCCGCATCATTCTAAATAGCATTTCACCCAAATTTATCCCCATGTATCCACTGAGCTGCACTGAAGCCCTTTATTGAAAAGCCTGGAGCACAGGCAGAGGGTAATGCACTGATCGCCTCTTATTACTGTCACAAGTCTATGAGCAGGCCAATGGCTCCCCAAGAGTATGAATGACCCCAGGAGTGCATCCCTATAGCTCATTCCTAACACTTCAGAGATGTAATCTGGAAGCTTATTGTCTTGGTTAAAGTAAATAAGAGGAAGGTACTGTAAATCCTCAATCATTTTTAACAAATCAGCAAGAAAGAATGCCAGGCTGCCTTGCTCTACAATAATCTGCTACACCATCAAGAAATACAGTGGGTCACAGGAATGGAAGAGAGCACCGACTAGTACATAAAGACATGGCAGGAGACATCTGGGACCTCTGTAGTCAAATGTAAACCTTATTGAAATCCACAACATTGACTTTATAAGGGTCAAGAGCTCACCCCACAATGATATCCCTCCTTTACATTGAGCCACTGGGAGACTGGCCTAGGTGTTAAACATCAGTTTAGACCAACACAGCTACAACCAACAACCCTAAAGATCAGTTTATGCACCTGCAAAGCAGATGCAATAATCTGTAGCCATCTCCTTTATATATTCTTTATTAGTCATGTTGTTATGTAGAAATAATTAGCATTTCTAAAGGATTTTGAGAGAGAAAAAATGAGAGAAAGCGAGAGAAAGAGAAATTAACCTTTTGGAGGCTGGAGAGTTTCTAGACCAAGCGCTATCACACCAGCACTTACAGGCATGTGTAGGAGTAACTGAGAGCCTCAGCTCTCAACAAGAAAACCAAGCCGATTGGCAATTTAAAGCCCTTAGAAAGCAGATTATGGGAATTTTCTCCATTTTGGAAGGGCTTTGAACTCATGATCTTCTTTTAAGTCGGCCTTCCTGATATCCCTTTACTGTTTTTCAGCCTGAATATTCATCACAACCCAAGAATCAGACAGCACCGGGTACGATTTCACATTGTTTTGCCACCATAGAAAATGGAGTTCATGTTTCTCAAGAAACTACAACCACTGCATATAAAGTGAACATACTCAGCTGACAAAGACATGACTCGAAACCATTATAATCCCAGGAGTTTCCCCTCCCCTCCCACCTCTGCTACATTTGCCAAATCACATCTGTTAAGCCTCTCTGATTGTTTTCTTTTTTCTCCAAGTTAACAGACAGAAGATAGAGGGCCTGTCAGTCTACAATTAGAAACAGGAGAGCTGTGGATTAGCCAGCGTTTTGACTGCCCAGAGATAGGAGGGCAATTTATTTTGTTGCCATGCCAAGACATTGCTAGAGATGTCAAAGGTAAGTTCATTATAAATGATTTTGCATGGGGCTTTTCCTTTGGCTATTGGGGTGGGAGGAGGGGAGAAAAGATAAATTACAGAGGCCCTTTTTCCCCCTCCTGCCCCTTTAGACAACTGAGATTTATTACAGGGGAACCATGGATGATGTTCAGATACTAATTTCTATAAAGGAGAGGTAACTATGCCCAACAAAAATAAATAGTCAGCTGAAGGGAGTTGCTGCAGAACTTTTTTTCACAAATCAAAGCAGCTTTTTCCTTCTCTGGAAGTATGCCTTGTGTCCTTGACGCTGCCAAGTGCCAGCTATGAGCCTATAATAATCCACAGCGTTGTGGGTGGCATGTTTATTCATCAAGAGACTCAAGGCAAGGGGTAAAAGGAACATTAAAGTACAGCTAGCTGGCAGCTCAAAGGTATGGATCTTCTCCCTCCATCTGGGCCCTGTGCATTGAATGAAGTATTTAGTCACCATGGCACAAAACAATATACGATTTGAGCACTCTGCAAATATCACCGAACAAAGCCTGACACCACCTTGGCAAGGCGAGGGAGTGCCGTTACCCTTATATTCCAGATGGAGAAAATTGAATCACACAAAGTCAATGCCCTATTTTCCTGGTTTGAATAGGTGCTTCATACTTGCTGCTTTCATGAACTTTGAAGAGATAGGTTTTCGTACCTCTGAAGATGGCCCTACTTCCCCAGGCCTCTACCAAAATTCAGGGTATGTCCACACATATTGGAGCAGTTAATGTTAACCCAAAAAACCCACGTTTGATCCAGGAACAGGATCACGGTCTTTTGGGCTTTCACCACCAAATCTTCCTATCTCTTTTGGAAAGGAAAATCAGCCAATATCATGTAACACACAGACAACGTACAACAGGCAGACACGGTTCTTTGGGTGAATCTGATATCTTGTATTAAACCCACTTAATTATTTAAGTGGGTCTAATAAAAGATATCAGATTCACCCAAGGAACCTTGTCTGCCTGGGTCCTCAGACCAACGCGGCTACAACCTACACGTCAGAAAACGTACGAGCCGTTTTGCACCACAATGGTGTGTTCGCTTTCACATTGCTGTGCATATTGCTTTAAATATAACCCTGTTTAATATGTGCCTATATCTGCTGTATTTTGTCTGCTTGTTAAGCTGAGAAAGAAGCATGCTGCCTGAGCAGGTAAGCAGAAAGCCCCCCGTCGCGTCCGGAGACCTGTGGCTCTTTGTTTTAGAAACCCCCTGCCGTGTGCTGAAACGAGAAAGCCTGTGTTCAATCACTTAAGCAGGGGAGATCAAACCCCTAGGCTGGTCAATGTTCTTTTAAATTAATCATCTAAAATAAATGCTGGAAGTGTGGCAAGCCCTGATTGGAAAACTTAGGGTAATGTCATGCCAAGGTATATAGGAGTTTCCCAGATGCAGCTTAAGGAAGCTGCAGGGTGGAGTTAATTGTGAGCTGGAAAAAACTTCTCCCTATGTGGGGGGGAGGTGGGGGCTCCTTTTCACTGGAGAAGTGAGTTGGAGCTAAGTGAAGGGGAACTCGCAGGCTATATTCTAGCACCGGTTCAAATTCCCCCTATTCCCCCCTAACCTGTCTCACATCTCAAAGGGCCTCTGATCCTCACAGCTATGCATTTGCATGTTCATAACCCTGCATTTTGCATGCTGCTCCCCTATAACCCAGGAGAGCACACACAAAAAACAGAGGCTCCCTGTGCCTGAAGAAGGGTGTTTGTAGCTGGAAGCAGAGCGCGAATTAAAGGGGAGCTCAGGGAGGCTGAGCTCCCCCATAAGAGACAAAAGCCCCCCCTTGTAAGATTTGAAAATCATAACCTGGGGAGGGGGGTTCTGATCGGATTGCTCCTTCGCTTAGGTGGACTTGTTAATTAACCCGTTTAATTTTTTTGCAGACCCCTGCTCCCCAAGACTCAAAATGTAATTCAAACCCTGCCTGAACGATTTTTCCAGCTATTGAGTCGGTCCAATAAAAGATACCACATTCGCCCAAAGAAACCTCGTCTGCCTCTGTCCTTAGATCAACACGGCTACAACCAACAACCCTACGATCAAAGGAGAGAGATGGTCTCAGAGTCTGGGACTCAGCTTCTCTCCCTCTTTTCCCCCTTCCCCCTGGGTTTTGAGTGGGATAATGTCATGGGGGCACTGGCAACATGTAGCGGGTGCACATGGGTTGCACGCGCATGATGCATGCAGACGCCAGTCGCACATGCATGCATGGGGGTATTAATCCTTGGAATAGTTTTGGGGCCAGGATTGAAGCCTGGCAGATTTGAGCCAGGAGGAACAGACCTGGATCTTTTTGTTGCTGTTGCAGTTTCTTTTATCTCAGCATGACTGCGTGGCTGAGCCCTGCTGTATTGCAGGCCCCGGCGCACGTAGGCCTGGCTCTTTTTGCTGGGCTAACAGCTAGCCCTGTAGCTGAGACCAGCTGTATTTCAGGCCCCAAGGCAGGATGGGCCTGGGTCCTCTCTGAGTCCTTTTGCAGCTGTCCTGCCCCAGCTGAAACCATGGAACTGGAACCAGAAATGTTGAGGTGCGGTAACTGGAGCTACAGTCATCCCATGGATGTGGAAATCAGCATCCTCCAGCTTCCCAGAAAGCAACAAGGGGCCCTTTGCATCACAGAAGGACCTGTGCTCGCTAGCCAAGGTGCAGTGGATCCCAAGGATCAACTCATAAGACTCTCTGGTCTGGGCCACCCTATCCAGCCTGGTGCTGCGTGGCGGATATAGGGGTGCAGGCCCCTGAACTAAACCTTTGTGTGAGCCCCCTCCCAAGTTCCAGACTGCCTGGACAAGGGGGAATCTCCCCAAAAAGGGTGAAACCTATAAACTATACCTTCTGGTTGATAGTGTTTCAAATTGCTTTTAGTGTCTCCTTTGCTTTCTGTAATGAATCTCTTCTTTTGTGTTTCCACTGCTTGCAAGGAGGGGTTTTGGTCGATGTGGGACCCCCCCTGCTAAATTCAGGGATCCCCAATTTCTAGGTGGGGGCTTGAGCCACATTGGGTACCCTGAAATTTGAACCCGGGCCTTGTTGCTGCTGACCAGTGAACGGTTACAATCATCTTCTTTACATCCACCCTTTTTACCTTCCTTTCACCGACAGCAATCCATGAAATGAGGCAGTGAAATCCAGAAAGCAAAGTGTTAAAATGTTACCAGGACCTGCTCACACACGTGAGCATACACACACATGCACAAAGCAGTGAGACAAAGCATCTGAGTGAGGATATGTAGATACTGTGCAAGAGTAATGAATTCAGCTTCCTGCCCTTCATAGTTACAATGGGCTCCGGGGGTTATATGCTCATCAGAAAACTGCAAAGGTCACAGAGGACCTTGGACTGAACTGCTCCGAACAATGTTACACCCTAATCCTGGGACGTGCGAGTGTCCCTGGGACTCTCTGTATCCCTCAGCTCCCAGCCAACAAATTGTGATTTATTCCCTTGGCTGAGCACACGATGGTTTGTAAGGCTACTCCTTGTGAGTCCTTTGCTCTGCTTTCATAGTTTCATAGTTTCTAGGGTCGGACGGGACCTGAGCAGATCATCAAGTCCGACCCCCTGCCATGGCAGGAAAGGGTACTGGTAAAGGGAAAAGGAACGAGACCTCCACAAGGTCAAGAAGACTTGCTGCTAGTCTGTGCGCCACCTCCTGCCAGCTGGTGAGGACCCAGGTTATGCTGTATTATTGGTGGGGCAGCTAGCTTTGTTTCCCTCTGCTTTTTTTTCTTTTCTCATTTGCACTATTTCTTAAGAAAACACACTGGAGTATTGTCGATCCACGTCCCCCTGCTGAGATAAGAAATAATTAACTGCACCGAGTGGATTAATCGTGGGGTGGGTTGCTTAGGATCGTCAAAATCCTCTTGGATGCTGAGAAGGCATCTCCTGGACGCACAACAGACGTCTTGTTTGGCTCCTTCACGCTTTACAAAGTTCAGCCCCTCTCACTTCTTCCCCCAAAAAAATAAAAACGGCAATTATATAAGCTGTTTGGAGTACACAAAAAGAAAAGAAATAGTGTGGTTATTTATCTTGATACACATGCAGTGTTGCCATACGCGGAGGCCAAAGGCTGGGGAGAGCAAGTGACTGGGGAATGCTAAATGGGGTGCTGCCATCTATTGGCCAGCGGAGAGATATCGCAAAGGATCAGATCCCAAAACCGATGCACAAAAACATGAGAGTGGCTGGGGCCCCTTGGGCTGACAAGCCCAGTCCTCAGCATTGACAGGCAACCTTTTACCCAGAGAGTCCTAAAAGTTGTTCCCTCCGACTCCTTGCGTGCCTGAGCAAAAAGCAAGCTATGCAAACCAAGTTCAAAAGCATCCTACCAGGTGCCACAGGTAAAAAGCAGAGAAGACAAGGGCGGCAGCAGTGCCCCGCCACCAAAACAGCAGTATTATTTTGGTGAATATATGATCGTGGGGTATCTAAGTCCAATGTTACAAACCTGACAACTCCAATCAGCCCGTGTCTAATGGCAAAACCTATGTTTCGACTCCAAAATGCCCCTGGTGCCCAGAAATACCCCTCTGTGCATGTCCAGAACTGCTCCAGCTCAGTGCCTAGCTCACCCCTAAACCCACTCATGATCTGGGGCTTAGGTATATCTCTACAAAAAAAACCCAAGGGACTCAATCTAGTAGGTATTTTTAGAGTGAGCTTAATGCACATCAGTAGGATCAGGCTCTGCACAAAAAATGCAGGTGCAGCCAGTACTTTCATTCAAAGAAAGTATTGGGTAAGGCCTCCTTCTATAGGGAAGTGAAAGGAAGTAAAAGGCTTCCATTCAGCTCATTCGACTTGCTGATGGACACCAACCCACATCTCCCATCTAGGCTTCTCTGGGTGCACGTATGTGTGCAGCTTGCCCATTTAAGTTACGACACAGCACAGAAAAGCACTGGGAACTCACTAGACCAAAAGAAGAGGACAAAGGGAAGCCTGACTCTCTATCTTAGTTGGGCAGGAAACTCATTTGGGATGGGGGGATCTTAGCATGTGCTCCCCTCCTGCATTTGACAGTCCATAGTCCTTGGATAAAATGCTTTAATCCTTTTTCACAGCTTCTGCCCAGGAGAGGTAAAGCAGGCCTCAATCTAAACAGCCTCTACCCGGGGGGTCCAGCACGCGTTTGGGAAGTGGGAGAAGTATGTCTGAACTCTGTCAGGCTGAGCTGGCATTGAACCCAGTCCTCCAAAGTCATGAGCTCTAACCACTAAGATTGTCCATCAATAGCAGGGGTCATCACCTCCTTCCACCAGGTTTTGAAAGAAAAGTTAACTCTGCATCATAGGCGCCTACCTTCAGGGCCGGGATCAGGACTCAGCCTTGTCTTTTGGGTTCAATTTTTGCTGGCTTAGGTCTAGGTAGTACTGAACAGGTTGGCACTAGGCATCTCCATGCTGGCTGGGTTGTAGCTCTTGTCTGAGGAGTCTTCCTCTTCCTGTGTGCTGTCCAGGGATCTCATGTAGGGTGGAAGATTGCACTACAAGAGTCTAGAAATTAGGGATAATGATACTATATCAGAGCACAGCTAAGACCTCATTGAAGGAGACACCTAAACCATCCCAGAGCCTACCGTGTTTAGTGGCATTTGATTTTGAGGGCAAAGACCAACAATTAGAAGATGCTAGAATAGGAGAAAGCACCAGATTCATCCACTTTAAGATAATAAAGCTGTTTTAACTATTTTTTTCCTATCCAGCAGCCCAGGTAGCTAATTAAATCTATTAAAAACCAATCAAAACTCATGTGACCTTGGCTTTTCTCCTGCAGTGCCAATGAGGCATTTACCCCAGCCATCTCCATCTTTTCCTACAATGATCATGGAAATCAATTCACACTTTGTACTTCATCAAATCCTCTGTCCTCTGTGAACAATAGGCTTCAATTGCCAAAGCAGTCATTAGCAACCTGACTGGCATTTCCAGTGACTGCAGGGAAAGGCCTTTGCTGCTTTTGCAGAATTTGAATAATTAATTACAGAAATTCGTAGTAGCAATCACTGCCACAGTACAGACTGCAAGGGGCTGGTTTTGTACAGATGCATGCAACCTTTGGTCTTTATCATGGATGGAATCATACCCTTGAACAGAAAGCCTCTCTTACATGGTGTGGGTGAAGGTTATCCTTTTGAATGTGGGACAGCTACAGCGCTGCCCTGAGCCCAATATATTGCAGCCCTGCACTGTAATCTAGATTCAGTTAAGCATATGCTCAAAAGCATCCCTTTTCAAGTCATTGGAACACGATTGAATGCTGAAAGCGAAGCTGAGCCCGGACCCGAGGAAGGGCCTTTTGCATCCCTAACACAAGTTACCTAAGTAACTAAGACCAAAAGACTATCCAGGAAAAAATCTTCTTGCATCATGTTTTGCAAGAGAAAACTAGACTATTTAGCCAGCCAACTTCAAATATAAATTGCTTTTTGGTTGGGTGTTTCTCATACAAGTTTAAGGAATACATGCTAGCACTCTAGAAATATACTTGCAAAAAAAAACCAGACTGGATTTCCACACCGGAGTGGTAAGTGCTCTGACATAAGTGTCTGCTTTTGAGAACAGGGTTAACAGTCTCATGCCATCTCACCCAGCACCAGAAAAACCACTTGGAAGAGCTGAGAGAACACCATCAGAAACTTGCTGAAGAATATTTTAAGATGTAAAACTCAGCTGTCTTTCTGGGATGGATGCATCACAAAACTCCGGTTTTGGAACAGAATCGAGTCATTCCCAAAAACTAGTGTTTTTGATCCCAATTCTGTCTGGAGCTTGCTCAAGTTTCCATCATTTTGCAATCTAGCAAGGATTAAAAGACTTCCTGATGTCCTTCTCCTCTCCGAAAAGAAAAACTACACAGCTGACGCACTCCTTTGACTTATCCCAATCAATGGAAAGGTCTTGCAGGAGTGCCATTTCTGGGGGACTTCTTGTGTTTTTCCACAGGAAAGGCCTCACCCACAGTGAAAGAGAATCATAAAAAAAATGGGTCAAGCAGAATATCTTTGGATACATTTGGGCAAGGTCATGAGCTGCCTCTCCACCAAACGGTTCCTCAGTTCCCAGGCTTGGTTGAATGTGCAATTACACAGCATGCAGTCTTTTCCTATGGTGGAAAACAAAACAAAAGAAGAACAGGAAAGAGACATTGAGTCTCGATGCCAAAATACTTTGCTCTCTTTTGGACTTCTAAAAACACTCGGGATACAGAAGGTTGATTTACCAAGGGAGTGATGCACTGGAGCCTTGCTTAGCTCTCTATGGGGTTAGAGAGATTAAAAGCTAAAGTCCATAATAGAGAGAATATATCTGAGTTTCTGCACGACGGCAGTAGCTCCTTATGGACCTGATGCAGAAGGTGACATGCTAAACCTCAGTGATCCTAAGGACCTCGTTGCAGTTTGGTCTCTTCAGGCAGACCCATACCACAGAACCACAGAATGCAGCACTGGGAGATATCCATCTGACATCCATAAGACCCTGCGATGAAGCATCAGTTTATATATGTTCCCAGTTCTGTAGAAGCTGTCTGTATTCCTACAATAGCCACGTCACGCATCAGCCTCTTCAAAGCATTCATCCTCCCAGAGGCACCCTACGATGTGGAATGGCTCTTGTCCCCATTTTATAGGCACGAGATTGAAGCACGGAAAGTCAAGTGGCATCCACGAAAGATCCCTGATACTGAATGTTGCAGCACCTGAATCAGAGGAGGAGAGCAAAGTATCTACGAATAGAGGCCACCTCACCTAATAGGAAATTTGCAGGAGAGGGGCATGTTGTAAGCTCCACCCTTCCTAGGGCTTTAAATGTCTTACTCTCTCTTATCAGGATCCATGAAGCTAAACATTTCCTGGAGTTGGACAGCTCTGCTAGATAGACCTTTCTCACCAGTAACAGCTGGCGGTGGTGAAGACCTCACTGTGCAGTAACACAGTGGTTAGAGCACTCAGCCAGGAGGTGGCAGATCCAGATCCAGGGCCTGAAAGGATTTGAACCTGCATTTCCCACCTTGCTGAGGGAACACAACTCCATAGCCTAGCAGTGGGGAAAGCTACCCCGAGTATGGAGACCTGGGTTCATCGGGATGGGCCTGGAACCCAGCTCTGCTCCTTCCCAGGTGAGTATCCATTGGGCTACGAAGTCATACCTATGTGCAAAACCTCACTGCCTCTGGCACACCTGGTATTTCAGCATGCCTTGCTAAGTGCACCAGCGGCTAGACAGAATCAAGAAGGCCCTAACCTAGAATACATTTAGCCTGCTGGTTAGCATAATACTATAGAGGGAAAATGAAGGTTCAGATCCTTTCAGGGAAAAGCAGGAATTGAGCTTAGGCTTTGCATGGATGCTCTAACCCTCGAGTTAGTAGGCAAAAGGAATAAGCACCACTTCCACTCATTTTGCAAGGAGCTGAGCGAGACAGCTGAGAATCCCCCACAGCTGAGACAGGGGACCGCCTCATTTGTAAATCCTGAGGAAACCAGGCTGCTCTCTTAAGCAAGTCTGGAAAAGCCCAGCAGCACAAATGTAGTCATCGAGGGATTTGACTTTGTTGGCAGACCCTTGGACACTCCTCCAGCATTCATGTGGCAGCTAAACATCTGCAGGGCTGGTTAAGCAGAACTTAGGTTTTTTTTGTGGATGTGATATTCAACCACTTGCCCAAGGTCAAAGAGTGAGTTTTTCAGCAAAGCAGGAGACTGAATGCAGATATCCCTAAATATATAGGTTAATGGCTTATTACCCTTGGACAAGGCTTCCTCTGGTGGAAACAGAGCCAAAGACACCAAATTGACACATAGACCCTTAGCCTCTGGGTCATTTTTCATCCAGGCATACACAGGCTGACTTCAATGAGACATCTCATATGAGCCAATGTTCATCAACATGAATAAGGTCTCCCTTAGAGCCTATTAAATCATTATAGTCTCCCATAAAACACTGGAATTTGCTGTCTTTGTTGCATATTTCCCCTGTTTAGTTACCCCAGATTTGTGTTGGGACCAGTGAACTGCGGTGCTCAGGGACCCTGAGCAGTGAACCCAGCTCTTCAGCTTTAAACATGTGTATTTACACTCATTGCACCATCTGGAGAAAGCCTAAAGCTGTGACATGAAACAAATGAGGAATTCAACATGGGGATAAAGTGTCAACTGAGTGCATTTTGCTTTTTATTTTCAGTTTGTGCTTGATGAGTAAGAAGCCAACGGCAAATCTGTCAGGAACCCATTGAATAACATGGCATATTATATGCCATATTAAAAGAAGATCTGAATGGAAAGGATGAGGTGTCATGTACAAATCTTGCCTTTGACTTCTACCCCGGGGTGAGGTGGGGGTGTTTACACATAGTATTTAGCCCTATTATTGTCCATCAAATTATAGTCAAGTTCATATAAAGAGACAAGTGACTTTTTTTGCTTGGCTATCACACATCAGCAATGGCTTGTGAGTAGCATATATGGGGTGACTGGCAGAAAGATAGGCCATTCAGATTCAAGGCCAAAACTATTCCCAACTCACTTATGTTTCAGAATTGCCAACAGACAACAGTAATAGGATAATTAGCTTCTACACTTTACTACTGAGTATGATTTTCAGAAGAAGAAACTTTCAAGCCCTGGTACTGAACCTTGGGATGTAAAAGATGTGCTCCACGAAGACCATTTTGTATATAAGTTTTTTATTTTGCACCTTCAGTTATCCTTATTCCCAATGCACAGGGAGGATCTGAGTATTGACCCAGGGTGAAGGTGCACAGCATGCTTGGTTCCTTTACATGCCTTTGGGACTTTATTTTGACTTATCCTATTTACACTGGAGGTCAGAGAGATTTCCGACAATCGAGACAGTGCCCTTTGCAAGCTTCTGACAGCCTGTCAATATACATGAGCAGAAACACAAATCTGTACTTGGTGTTTGCAAAAACAGAGGTGTTAAAAATCTCTGATGCACAGTGATAGAGACTGGTTTGAAGTCACTTTTGCCGGCGGCATGCCCAGAAGTGCCAGCGGCTCTTCTTGGGGAGGGCTCCCCCCACACACCTGTTGCCTAAGCCAACAGTGCTCGCTCTCGGGGGGGCACCAATACTCTCAGGAGGTGCACGTGCACCCCTGTGCACCCCCTACATGTCACCTATGGTCACTTTGGTCCAATAAACTACTATCCATCTTTTGAATGACCAAAGTGCCTATGCCTCTCTGTACAATAAGGAAGTCCCTAGTCTGGTTTTTAGGCAGCCAGTGGGAGATTTAGATGTTTAGCCCTCCCAGGGGAAAGGCTAAGTGCAGAAGACACTTTCTAGACAGGTCATCTTGTCCAGGCTGAGCTCGTGTGACTGGTCAAGAATAATGAGATGTCTTTTGCTAATGGCTCAATGTACTGCTCCAATGCATTTATGTACAACATGTGGTACCATGATGCACTTCGGGCCAAAATCTGGTCTAAGGTAAGGAACAGACTGGGCTGGAAAAACTGACTGAGAGGCAGAGGTGGGAAGCAGGAGAAGGGAATATAAATACCCTCCACACACACACACACACACACACACACCTCACTTAGGAGTAGGAGTCAAGGACAAGATTTGTACAGTATGTGATGGCTCGGCCTTTTTACAACTCTTGGGGAGCAAGCTGCCCATTAAATTAACCATGATAGACTGGCATCCAGAAAAGAAAAATGTATATTCTGAAAATGAAGGATAAGGAGCTGAAATGCCTTGGCTCTCCTTGCATGAGTTAGCTCAAACAAGATGCCCCAGCCCTACCATGTGTGAAAGCACTTGCCCTTCATCATCACAGAGGCAATGGAAACCTCCAGGTTTGTTCCCGTTCACCAAATCCACGCCTGTCTCATGACATATTGAAGAGAGCAATCTGTATTTCTTTGGCTCAGTCCTTTTGCAAAGGAAATAAGATATTTCTCAAGCACCCCTGGCTTCCAACAAAGAAAACGTAAGGTCACAATTCATCAGGACCTTTCCTCAATGATAGGAATAAAATCATCATCAGAAGTGGGAAGGAGATAACTTTCCCAAAGGGTAACTCCCTTCCAGGAGGGCAGCATCTCTGACTGTAAAATGCATATTAGTCCACTATGATGAGTAACAGTAAGGCCAAGGGTTTCTATTAATGCAACTGCAGGCATGAATCCAAGTTTTCATGTGGTTGCTGGCATAAGCCTTCAGATTTGTATCTACTCTGTTTTGCAGGGGCCAAAGTTACAGGGGAAATTTGTGCTTACTGTCCAATTGCTTGGCCTCATCTTGGAGTTCACCCTGAAAATTGTTTTTCCTTTTTGGCCACCACGTAGACAACCTGGAAAGGAAAAAATCTTGCTCCTGACAACCTCAGAGCCTCTAGCTGTGGTCCTAGGTAAGCTGCACAACCACAGGCATCCCTCTCAACTCCAATCAATTGTTAAAAGCATTTGTCTCATGCTGCAAGCTCCTCAGAGCAGGGACTGCCTTTCACATGGCATCTGCTCAATGTCTAACACAAGGCCCAGTCCTCACTGGTCCAGTGGAAACTGCTGTAAGACATATAAGTCCTTGTCCTCCTCCTCTTTGCTCCCAGTGTTTGGACCCTAGAGGTATATGAATGAAGAATACCAGCATAGGTATACAAGTCTTTAACAGTGGATTAATTTCCACGCCCCGTCTGATGAAAGTTAGATCCTCTCCATTTCTTGCTGCCACTAAGGAACTATTCTGGTTTCCTACACCCAGAGGTGGAAATGGTGGATTATATTCTTGACATTTATTTTATTTTTTTGTTCTGAAGGTATTAAAACTTACTGTCAGAAGTAACAGATCCTATTACACCCGCTGTAGCTGCTCTTGCAGGATTTCACTCCTCATTAAACAATGCCAGGGTGAAAGGTCTTACTGGAGGAAGAATTGTAACAACCAGGATGATCAGTGCCTCCAGGGCAGCACTGGCCAGAATAACACCCCAAAAAATGGCCCGGTTTCTGAAATGTCCCAGAGAGTGCTACTTAGCTGCAACTTGGCTGGGTTTCATTTCAACAGGGATTTATGCACATTTATGATTTGCCAGACTGGCTGCTAGAGTGCGGAGAACAAAAACTCAACTACATCTCTCTCCTTTCCTTTCACCCTTCCTGAGCCATTGCTGGTGCCCAAGATGAAAACTAGTCTCTCCTGCCCTGTTTGGTTTTTTTTTTACCAAAATGGTTAGAACAATTTTTTGTAATGAGTGGCTCCTTTTTTTCTGTAGGGGGGGTAGGAAGTTAATTAGCCTTACACTCAATCCTCCCTGATTTGTCTAGGATCAGGACTGGCAACAACAACAAAAGAAGCCTGTGGGGCTCAGCAACACATCCACACTCAAGATGTCAAAAAGCAATATGACAGCTGGCGTGGCTACAATTTTAAATGCCAGTACCTTATTGTATCCCCTTCCGTAACATGCTGTAGTTCCCCCTTTGTTCCAGGAAATACATGCAATGAAATGGTTGGAAGCAAAGTCTTTGATCTAGAAACATATTTCAGTGCAGATGTCATCCTGGATCACTGGCTCCCTGATCTCTATTTGTGTGCACAAACATCAGATGCATTGCACTGAGTGCACAGGACTGACTTCAGCTCACATGCTGCAGGTCACAGGCATACCGAAGGGATCAGTGAAAGGCTGGATGAGATGTGGAAGTACCCAACTGTGCCTAGGGAAGATCTCAGGAAGTAAAATGCACGAGTGCAAATGTGCAGGTAAAATTTTGACGCACACTTGAAAATCTGGCCTTTTGACCTGAGATAGAGTCTGGCCATTTGGTAGCACTCTTAAGACTATTAGCACTGTTAAAAGAGCCGTTGACTTCTCGCTTACACGCATAATCACCGGGACTACACATGCAAATCAAGTACTTGCACTTGATACCAGTTGCATCTTAATATATGTAATAACACAGCTAGAGTGATATGAAACATGGTTAGCCAGCCTGCCTGGTGGCTCTCCATGGAAGAAAATGCCTCTTTTAACTCAAGACAAAATGCATTGGGACAAATTCATTCCTCATTGTTCCATAAAAGCGTCCATGAAGATTACAGATTTCTCACAGCCAAAATGATTTCCTCGATTGCTGCTTTTAGGCTCGGAAGAAAACAGAAGATGATCCTTACAGAAAAGTTTCTGTTGCATCCTCCGAAAGCAACAGGCTGTACACCGTTATCTCCACAAACAATGCAGACTTCACCATATAGTCATTTCTGCTTTAATATAACATGTAATTCATGTATTAATGTAAATCAAAAGACTGTTATTGTTTACTAACCTTACTGACCCACCTAGAAGATTTCTATGGATGGAGTACTTCGCCTGTCTTGAAACACAACCCAGGAGCTGGTGACAAAATACTAACAGAAGCTACCACAGCTTAAGAGGCACATCACTTAATTGAAAACATCTGCAAGGCCAGTGTGTGAAGACACATCTTCCATAAGCAACACATTTAAAAAAAAACCCATTCCTTATTCCATGTCTTCTGAAACTTTCCAAGGAAATGGTTTGTTTCTGTCCTGTTTATGATACAGCAACAATAAAAAAAGCTACATCTCTTTTCTTGGAAGCTTAATCTTTCCTACTTCTACTTTTTTGAAATAATGGATATTTTTAATATATGGAAGCAACTTGTATAGCTAGGCCCAGTGTTTTGGTTTCCTTAGTTCTTCTAGCATGATGATACTTAGTAGTTTCCAGGTCTTTTCAAGTCCTGGATATGCTAGACAATAATGTCCCAACTCTTTCCTGGGTACCAGGTGGTCTAAGGACATATCTTCACTGACTGCCTTCCTTGCATGCAGACCAGCCTCTGGCTTCTTTACTATCCCTTCCATCCAGGAAGAGCACACGCCAACTGCAGATGCTTCCTCAGCCTGACCAAGGGCATTTGTACCCGAAAGTTTGCAAAGATGAATTTTTCCAGCTATTTGAGATCATATTTACCCAAAGAACCTTATCTGACAACTCTTTCTTTTAGTTTTTGCAGAGTACTTTGGAAACACTTTCTTTCCTACCACCCAGGAGCTAGCTGCCAATAGGAGATAATAACTGGAAGGTGATTTGCTGGATAGAAACTGTACATATCCTGAACCAAGTCACCATCACTGATGGGCAAGACTCGTGCCAGAATCATCAATCAACTGGTGTCACATCACTCACACCGCACAGCCGGTGCAACCTAATTGCGTCAAGTCACAACCAATGTGATGTCACAGCATGCATGGTTGAGCTGAGACCTGATTAGTTTAGAGGCTCCAAAAAGAGACCTTACCAGAGGCTGAAAAGGACCTCTGCCCAACCTGCATCACCTTTATTCCTACTAAACTAGGACCCCTGCCAGAGGCATACCTGTGGTCTAACCAGTTAAGCCATAAGGAATTTCCCTTGGTCCATGCAACAGAAATAAGGCAATGCGTTCCCCATCTGGAGTTTCTCAAGAAACACATTGCACTGACAGACGGCATTATTAACTCATGATAAAATCGTGTCTGCCCTTTCAAAATGATAGCCCCCAGGGGAGCATGTGGGATATAGTGCAATCCTGACTTAAAACCAAGGAGCCGTCATGGTTGTGCATCTGCAACCTCTGCCATCCAGTAGTAGGCCCCTACTTGTCTCCAGGTGAAATCATGCAGTTCTTTCCCTCCTGCACCAGTGAAGCACAGACCAGTTGCTGACCAACTTGAAAATCTGGCTGAGCTTAGGGCACCTAAATATCACACCATCAGGAACTAGTGACCAAGGAAGTAGTTTCCAAGAACTTTCCTAAGACAAACATTTTTATTATGTCACTGGAACAAAGCATTACAGGGGGAAGGGAGATTTCAAAAGAGCGAACAGCCTACTTGCATATTTAGTCTCATTTATCTTATGGCTCATACAAGTGACATTAGATAGGCGTTCTTAAATTCCCGAGCAAGAACAGACTTATATTTTCTCAGAAAGCTGCAAACTTCCCAGAAGCCTCAGGAGCATCCCAAGCAGACTTGCCCTCTTTGGACCCATCCTGTTTGATCTGGTTTCAGTGCTGACAGAATTGCATTCAAACCACTCACTCTGCCCTTATCTCATAGCAGCCCAGTCTATCTCAGTGAGGCAATTGGTAGCCTTGAGGCTGGGTCTTGCCAGGGAGTGACGGAGGTGAAACGGCTCACTCCCCTAACACACGCTATCCAGTGTTCACTCCCCTAACACACTCTGCTATCCAGTGTTCAAATCCTATGATGCAAGCACAGATCAATAAGCCTGTCTGAGCATGCCAGCATTCACCACAACCCATGAGACAAATTCTCTTTTCAACACAGGTACCAATGAGATCAATTGAGTTCAGAGCATTTCCTTCGCAGGATAGTTTGCATCACAACCAAGGGCGCAGATATGCAAGCAAGTTACTGAAGGCAGGGGAGGATGAGCTTTGCCATACAACAGTGTCCCCATCATAACTCTCCACAGTGTTCCCTTTCTTACCCCTATTAAATGCAAACTCACCTGTAGTAGCTGAGCCCTCAGTGCAAGAGAAGTAAGGTACTTCAAGTTGACCTTCATTTACTGTGAGGTGACAGCATGCACATGGGTGGTAACAGGGATGAGATGACCTCTATTCAGCCCCCCAATGCCTCATAGAAATGTATTCACATGCCTCTATTCTTAGAGCAAATTATTCCACCCTTAACAATTGCTTAACCCTGGGAGACACTGTGCTGGTGGAGAACTATGAGCATTGGCAAAGCACTGCCAATGTGTACTTTATTATATTAAGAAAGCTTGGTCTGTACAAGAAGAGTAAAACCATGGCCATCCCAAGCTGTACCAATGCAAAAGAAGGGCTGAAAATGTAACTACATCTACACCAGAGGATTCTCCCAGCCCAGCTGGGAGATCCCTCGCTGTTAGACAGGGATCCACCTGACCACCCAGCCACAACAGTAGAAGCTGGTGGCACAGTATGGGTAAAAAAAAAAGCATTAATTCAAATGCAGGAAAAAGCAACCATGGATGAAAATCTGCTGGAACCAATAAGGTCCCAGCAGCCCATCCTGCTGATACAGCCTTGTACACGCTTGGGTAAAGAAGGAATTTTCAAAGCAATGTTAATTTAACACAGATGATTCAACCACAGCCAGTTCCCTTTGGTCTTCTTCCTTTACCCCCATTGAAATCATGGTGCTGAATGGACAGCTCTGTTTTACCTTTTCATTGAAACTCTTTCTCAAGAGTTAAGACCTTTTTTTAAAAAAGTTAGTCTCTAGTTTTGCACTGGGTCTTAGAAAAGACAAAGGAATGTGCATTTGTTTAGAAGAAAGGGCATTGTTGCATGCATGATGCATCTTCCTTGATTCTCCAGGATTATACAAATGCTTTCTTCCCAGTCCAATCTTGTATCACAGATAGGGAATGAGATTTTCGGCAAACATCTTTAATTACAACTGCATGTTCCACATGGCAAAAAAAAAGTGCCAGTTTAGGGAGCTGGGGCTAGAAATGCTGTACTTCACAGTCAAATATGCATCCATACAGTGGAGGCCGCTGTAAATCAGTGCACAGCATTAGTGGTAGTTAAACGTGCTTTGATTCTTGCAATATTTCCCATTCTAAATAAAGGGAAACTCCAAGTGTCAGAGCAGAGTAAAATTTCATCTTTAGTGACCCTGCCTTTTACCAGCATGTATACATATAAATGCATATGTTTGTGAACAGGAAACGGGGATGCATTTAAGGAGTTTGAATTTCTCTTTCTTTTTTATTTTTCCTTAGTTCTAGGGTCATGCAGTTTAACAGCTTGTATTCCCAAAAGATCAAGTCTCCATTCCCGCCATGCAACTCTACAAAAATGGAAGATTATGTGACAGACCACCAGGGAACAGATGAAAGTCCCTAAATAACAGCACTGATTCAAACATGGGACAGCCTGAAAGTATGCCAAACCCCACTAGGAAAGCCACATTACTCACAGTTCCCAGATCTTTCAGCAGACACCAGGGCATAATCTGTCATCCTCTTTTTCCCTCTATAGTGACTTATTCTGGCTGCAGATATATAAGGTACTGGCATATTTAAAAAATAAAAGAATAAAATACTCTAGCTATTAACTTCTTTTTCAGGCTTCTTCCCAAGGGCCGGTAAGGGGACAGAGAATCACAGA